TTCATCACTCAATCAGTGACTTCTTCCTGAAAGTTTAATATGCAGAATATTTCCAAGAAAAATGTCCACAAAGCTGCTTTTAATCTTAATCCTCCCAAACTAAAACTCTGTAGTAAACCCTGCTGCTCTGTTCTATCTTTGCTGTGATTGCAGTGTGAGTGAGTGTGCTGCTTCTGGTTTTGTTCATTTTCTTGATTTAACTGTACAGTACCAGCGACCTACAATAACGTCACATTAATCTCTACTGACCTCTAGTGGTCAAAATCCTCCCCTTGATTCAGTTAGAAGATCCTGTAAACCAGAAGACCACACAAAACGCTTTCATAGTGGTTTAAAAAGATCGGGGTTATAGTTAGGAGTGCTCTTTAGAATGTGTATTCTGAGTTTACTTCAAATAAAGGATTTAAGATGATTCAAAGTAATGTTCAGCCCTGTTAAAGGCTTACTATGCGACTTTCAGAGCAGATTTTACGATCACAACAATGCCCTCCTCAGACACACCTCCTTTATCCCTCAGCTCCCCCCCTTCCCCTTCTGTTTCACTAGCAGGGTTAATAAATATCTGAAAACAAGATTCTGTGATCCATTTCAAGTCATTTAAATATGCATGTCAGAGTTGATTAGGATGTTAAATGTTTGTCTTTTTAGGCAATAGAAAGTGTTTTCTTCGGTTTAGAAAGTATGTTGGTTCTCCTGTAGTCAGTGTTATATTATACTCTTGCTTCCCAGCGGGGTCGTCTCTCTCCCCCCACATGCTGGCAGCGGGACGGTCAGAGAGGGAGGGGTTCACTAGAGGAAATTAAAGTATGAGCATGTTTGAGCCTCTGAAGGATACATAAACAACCTGAAGGAAGCGCTGTCCCATCCATGTGAACACAGAGCAGAGAACAACAAATCCTGAGGGAGTTTTACTTCACTCTCTTTTTAGGAAGTAATTACTGCACAATATATTTACACGGGGTGTATTTGATTTATGCTGTATTAATATTCAGAATGTCGCATATAATGCCTCGAAATGAACCGCTTGGTGAAGTCAACAGTGCTTTATTCTGAATTCATTCCATTAGAAAGAGAGTGTAGGTGTTAAGACCATGCAAGAAAAGGATTTTTAAAAAATCCTATGTGTCTAACACTGGAAAGTAAAATAAAAGATTTTGTGTCAGAAGTTAACTACATATTTTTCTATGCTGATCTTTTTCCAGCATGGGAGTAAAAAACGTCGGATCAAGCTGGTGGTGGACCGGGAATACGAGACTAGCTCCACCGGCGAGGACAGCATGCCAGAGACTCAACGCAGTCGGTTACCCTCCACACTCAACAGCCACGCTAACGTCAACGGCAGCATCTACGTGGCCCAGAACGGCTCCATCATCCGCACCCGACGCTCAGTAAACACCACAGGTCCCACGCACACCAACATGAACAACAACTTCAAACTCACCTCCCCCGTCTTCAGCTCACGGCTGGCAAAGCACTTTAAAAAACTGGAGAAAATGGCTGCCACACTGGAGGAGAGAGTGCCACTGAACAACCCCAGGACGGCAGCAGACGGCGGCTGCAACACTTTGAGTACCTTCAAAAGCCCGGTTGCCACTGCGCTGGCCTCTTCCTCTTTCTTGAAGACTGACAACAGTAAAACGTTGAACACATTTAACACTCGACAATCAAGCGTTTCTTTGGGGTCTTCCAGCACCAGCAACACTGGAACTGAAAGTTTGGCATCCAAATCAAACCTGTAAAAGCGGCGGAGTGCGGCACGGAGCAGCCGCAGAGCTCAGCAGAGAGAGACGAGTTGAAAGAAGGCGAGAGAGAGTCGAGGGTAGACTGCAGCAATGATGAAGACGACGATAACGGACTGGTCATGAGGGAGCCGCTGGAGTGCCCCAGCGACAGAACGCAGTCGGATGAGGAGGAGCTATGGATGGGCCCGTGGAACAGCCTTCACATACCCATGACCAAACTCTGACTGATCCTTTACCGGACTGTGCTCGCCAAGATCTTTAAAGCGTTCAGACATCATATCTGTTTATTAGGTTTGGAACTCATTGACCATGTTCACATGGCGGCCACTTTCCTCTAACATCATGCTCAGGGTGAAAGATAAAACGTTTTTTGAATGTTCCAGGTCATAGGTCTGAGAAATGTGGAATCTGAGGAATCATTATCGTTTCAGCACCTCTCAAATGATCATCCACTGAAGAGACAATGAACAGAGAAAACACAGAGAGAAGGGTGGCCATATGTCAAGTGACAACAACATAGTTGATGACCACTTGGTGTATCAAATCTGATTTTTGAGTGACATATGGCCCGATAATGTCAGGCTGAATATTCTTATACTTATTATGATGTGCTCATTAATGAAGAAGTGATGTAATAATAAGGATTGTCAAATACCTTACATTTAAACTGCTTACAATTAGAATATACTAGAAGCAACACAACATAACAGACTTTAAACTTCCCACCCTGAGTGTGATGACAGAGGAAAATGGCCACCTTGAGATAATGGTGTTTGGATGATTGTCCAAAACCAACTTCAGGAAACGTAACTATCTGATTCATATTTAGCTAAACTGTGAATTATCTTATTCTGGTAATCCAACAGATTTTTATTGAGATTAAAAAATCGAAACACTTTGTTAAAGTTCAGAGTTAAAACTACGTAAAAAACGATGAAGTTCCTTGGCGTCTTTTTAGTGTCTCAACCCTAACTGATCTCAGAACCCCCTTCAGAAAATTGGACCTAGTATGAGAGGACTTGTTATATTTCTATTTTATTAAAAGATCATAAAAGAAAACTTGTGGGAAATGTCTTCAGCAGCCCTTTAAGTGAACGCTGTCTCCGTACAGAAACACACTTGTCACATTTGGCGTTCTGGCTGACGGTGGGACTCACGCTGACACTCTGCATCGACACATGATCAGAATCAAAACGATGTCTTGTACTGTTCAAACTTGCCTTTTTATCTTTGTCAAGGTGCTTGGCGAACTTTGTCCAAATAAAGTACTATTTCATCCATTCAAAAGATGGAGTTTTGATTAACTTGGTGTTGATGTCACCTCTCTGTAGAACCTACACCATGTGACCCTGGGGAGAGGACTTCCTGAACGTCTGATGGGGTTCATAGGAGGGATTGAATCGCATTGATACTTTTAAAGATTTGGTCATGTCATGTTTGTACTAAATATATTTAACTAGAGCCAGCCGCTAGTTAGCATACTGTAGGCTGCCTATTATTGTCCAGGTCCCACCAAAACAGCTCTGCTCATCAGGGAATAGATGTAATAGCTGGTGATTGTGTGTCAATATAACATCCACATACATAACCAGGACCAAGTGTGTCCAAGCAGAGCATCACAAAGAGGTTCATACAGCCTTTGCCTGTTTGCCTTGGGGCCTTTTTTTTTCATCCAGAGGGAACTCAAGTATTTTTCAGTCTACATATTGTAGCGCTAAACCAAAATTCATTGTTTTCTGACACCTTCATGTCATTGGATCTGTTCACTTTCCCAGCAACTTGTCAACTCCTTGTCAACGCTGAGTGCAAAACGTTCATAATTCAAGTGGCTGATAAAGTTCATTTTGGGTTACACTTTAAATGCACTTCAGTCTCGAGTGAGAAGAGATGCAGGTGAAAAGAAAGGCGGCGGATTAATTCGCTTTAACTTTCAGAAAGGTCTCCGCACATTTTCTTCTTTGGCTTTGAATGACATCAGCATTTTCTGTTTTAGTACGGATGAGTGAACATTTTTGCGTTGGGTTGAAATTCCCTCATTGTGCTGGAACCCTGAGAGATCCATTTAACGGTGCACATGGTTCCATCTCCCTCGCCAAAGTACATCGTTATTAAGGTGGGAGAACTTTTTAATTGTGCGCCACATTACAGTGATTTGTTTAAATTGAAGTGTAAAAGAAGCTGGACCATTAAGCCGCGGGATTAGCAGGTTTTAACACTCTCACATTTAATTTGATGACTGTATAATTTTGCATTAAGGAGCTCAACAGAGGGTACTGTACCGGTGGTGATATTTAAAACAGAGTGCTCCTCATTACCGAGACTTACTGGACTGTACAGGACAGTAATGTTTAAAACTGTTTCTGGAAAGAAGGGCACGCCTGAGCCGCTGTTATTGATTCAACTAAACGCGCTGATCATGTCACAGAGGAGAAGGTGGAATGAACTCTGATTATTTAATACAGGACACAAGCGCAAAACATTTCACTGAAATAGATCATGTTGATAGAAACATGTCATTCACTCAAGTTTGTGGACCCTGAATTTGGCAGCTAAATTGTTCTTTTCCAAAACAAATGTTCTCTGTGGAAAAAGGTCAGAAATGTTGACCTGTGTTGTGTTTTGAAGTCAGGAATCAGAGGATTTAACACAAAATAGACAAATTGTAAATGCAATTAGCCTTTTTACTCTAGCAACAGGTAACTCCAGGTCAACTTTTTTTCAGCAGACCATTGGCTAAAAAGAAAAAATGTATTCCCACTGCGATACAGAGTTTAAACAAGGCTAGATAAACACTAATTTTTAACTTTCTTTTGCCTCTTTGTGGAGCTGTTGGTGTGATTTTAAGTGAGTTTAATGCATGTGAATGGTTTTATGTCATTTGAGCCTCTAACCAAAAGTCACTTTCTGTCACTCTGTGATTGACAGTAACATTTTTTGAATCTTCAAGTTCTCCAAGATGACCCAACCATCTCATAAAGTATGCGCTTAGGGAGACAAACTATTATTTGAAAAGAAAAAAATCCTGCACGCTACCTTTGCTAATTATCACCAACTTATTAGAAAAAATCACAACGTTTCGGTCCCTCTGAATCTTTAAGTGAACATTGAAGTAAAATCACTAAAAATACATTCAGAGTTTGTGTAAATTAAAGAGTATTAAATAGTATTAAAGTCAACAGACACCAAAGTAATCAAAGCACTTCAAACCTAACACAATAAGAGTATTAGTGCACTAGTAAAGGTTGGACACATACACACTTTCAACATATTTATATATTTATTTATATTGTGATGATAATATTTGACAAATCCAACAATTCTAATCCATATAAAAATTCAAGTAGACAAATGTTCACTTGACAGCCACATCATGACAGCGATAGTGGATGTTAAAGGGTATACTGCACATTTTATGGAAACAACAGTTTGCTAAAGATGAAACAAACTAATACAGTTTGTCGTATTCAGGAGATATAATGGATACAACAACATTTCAATAAAGTCTCTAAGTCTCAGTTTGTCCACAGTTACTTCGACTCACTAAACAAACGTTCAAAGATGCTGCTGTGTACTGAAGGACAACAAGCCACATGATACTACGCTGAAGGTTTGACACAAATGAGAATATTTATTGACATCTCTACAAACGTTTGAGCAAGTGTTCATCCTGTCAAATGCTGAAATAAATAAAAAAAAGAATACTTTAAACTACTTACAGGAAATTACACTGACAACAGTTCAACAAGAAAATAGCCAACCAGGGCTTCACATTTCAATAAATAATATCAACACACGTTTTTCTCAGGTTCAACACATGAAGAAATGATACATTCAGAAATGAGGTCTACAAGTTAGAAAGAAAAGGAAACAAGAACACTGCTCTGCCTGAAGGATGGAGATGATAACAGATTAACAATAAAACAGAAAATGTCCCTTTCTGTCTCACACAGGTCCATCAGCTTGGGTTGAGTCTTCTCTCGGAAAGTCTGACCTTTTCTTTTTTTTTTTATAACTTTAATAAAAACTCAACTCTTAAAGTGTAAAACAATTACAGAGATTTCTGAGTCGTGATATTTCTTGGATCACAATCTGATCGACCTTCATTAACATTCACCTAATGTATCCGACTGCCTGAAACATGTCAAGCTCAGGAGGAAAGGAAGATTCAATGTAGACAAAAAAAGAAAAAAAAAACGTGTTTCACTTTTCTATTGCACTAAAATTCAAACTGGACTACTCAGCACTTCTGTTAAATAAAAACTAAGTAAAGGACAAAAAGCTAATTTCTCTCTGAGGGGGTGTGGCAACATTTCATACCATCACAAAATAAATTATTCCAAATAACAACAAATCGTGTTTTGACTTTAAATTGTAGCATCAGGAGTTCACTGTTTGCTGGTTTAATAAAATATATTTGCTGCATGTATACTTAAGGAATTCATTCATAACACTAGGATGGTTTGGATGCTGATTAGAACTCTCTAGAACAGCTGTGGATGTTGTGCTTTGCCTCTGGTCACTTCCTGTCAGCACCCGTGTGTCTGATCAGACTTCAAGCTGTTCGTTTACACTCACAGACGTTGTTTCCTCCGCTCTAGATCCTGGCTTGTGTCGTACTTACTCTATGAAGTACATCGCTTTGGATGAAAGCGTCTGTTAAATGAATTGTAGAATTGCAGGGTACAGCTCAGTTTTACTAAACTCTAAAACACAATAGTCTCTGTAATGTTCGACTAAGTAGGGTAAGAACAGAGTGCAGGAGGCAGCTCTGTGGTTTCTAATCATGATAAAGATTTCTTTGTAATCTAAAAGCCATGATTGGAGTTTCTCTGACAGTGAAACATTTTTCTAGAGGTTTAAAAATGATGTGCGCTCTTTTGATTTTAACAATACTACACTAAGAGTATTGTATTAATAAATGAAATGCTCAACAAAAAGTCAAAGTTTTCTTTCTAAATATGGAAATGTTTCACATCAAAACAAAAAAAGGGATAAATGGCCCCAAATACACAAAGGTTGATTTCATTTTGAAAAGAGCAGCAATAAGAAATCAGGAAAAGTCTACCATCATTGACGATAAATCAATATTAGTAATCTATAAAGGTACTGCATTCAAAATCCATAAGACAGAAACTGTCAGCTAACAAATTAAGTTTAATGGAACACTAATCAGTCAAATGTTTGTGTGTAACTGTAATGTGGCTTCAGACTAAATGTCCAGACTGGATTGAAAAATACAGTCTGTTCTTTCCTCGATTCTAAATTCATAACAGGGCTGAAAATAAAAAAATAAAAAACAAAAGAATCACATTAATCCATCCCGACACAACCCAAGAGTCCATCAGTCACTGAGCAGTGACACGAAAACACTGAAGAAGAAGAAAGAAAAAGAAAATGTGCAAAATGCTGTTTGGAGAAGACCGAGCTGCGTCCTTCTAAAGGATCTTTATGCAATGATCACCTCGTACTACATTATGTTCTACATCACGCTCTACAACATGTTCTACTTCACATTGAAGAGAATTGTTGTTTCCTAACTTGGTTTGTTGCTCTTTGAGCATCAGGCGGGAGTCGAGGATCACTTCATGGACCAAAACCTCCTTTCTGATCGATAAATGATTACTTAATCCTTTCATATAATTTTGCAGATTTCACTGTGGTTAACAAATGTTTAGTCCACTCGACAGCTTTTAGCAACCATCACCTCTTTTCTTAAATTAACACCAAATCAAATCAGCAGTTCTCAATGATAATACCTTAAAACCCTTTGTTTGAGTTCATTTCAGTGGTTAATAAAATAGGATTCCTCTGATGTTATCAACGATGAAGAGCTAAAAATCTGTAATGGAAGAAGCAGCAGACGGTCAGTGTAGAGGAAAGTAAGGGCAGTGTTGCCACAAAGTGATAAAAAGGTTGTAACTGCACATGGAAATATTGTGCATGTCCACGGCCTCATCATGCTGTCGTCACCTGTAGTGCAGAGGCAGTAGTGTAAGTGTTTCTTAATATTGTTGCCTCGGTCTGTGAGTGCAGTTACAGTACTGTGACACTGGAAAGAGCAACAAAAAAAGAAAAAAAAGAACCAAACAAGCCAGCTTGTCAGCCTCCTTCACAATGCCCTCAGCCTCAAAAGCCGCTCCCTGAGAAAGAGAGACGAATACTGTGTCACCTCACACTCCACTACGTCTCCTTTTCCATCTCCATGAGCAGATCTCCCCTCTGTCTGCTGTGTGCTTCTTTTGTAAGATACAAGAAAAGGGAAGCGTGTTTCATTTATTTTGAATCAAATTCACAAGCCTTTACTCAGTATTGAATTTTACTCTGGTACTTTAAAAGATGTTTTAAAGACTTGTAGTTAGCAGCACTGCAATGTGCAGCACTCTTACTTTTTTTCAGGTCTTACTTGTGGAAGAAGAAAAAAACTCAAACTTAAACGACAACTCTTCCCTCTTGAAATTGTCAAGGGAATGTTCCTTCTTTTCTTACAGATCTCTCCTTTCTATTGAGAAGAGACTGATTTGTGTCCCTGATGACAAACTTGATCACTACAACACAACACAGCAGCTGCTCCTCCAACCAAAAGATCCAGAGCTACTCGCCCACATGACCATCACTACTCTAAGGTGAGGCCTAGCGGGACTTCCAATCAAGAAAATCTCAAGAAACGCCAACTTTGAACCGAGCAAAGGGGCTGAACTCAGTCGTCAGGATCAGAGTCCTTCAGGAGCGTTTCCCAGAATTCCTCTTTGCCTCTTAAAAAGGAGAATTTCAGATGTGGTCAGTCGAGCCTCTCTTTCTCTCTGGGGTTCATTTGTGGATCTTCCAGTTCCTGAGGAGGTGGAGCTTCCAGGCTTGTGGGGTCAGAGAGGAGGTGGGCAGGTGGACAGGTTGGAGTTGGCCCCAAAAATAAGAGGAGAGGAGGAAGAGGCCTGTAGCAACCTTCCTGTCCCGACCCTGCCCTCTGCCACCCACGCCTTCAGACCCGCAGCTGCAGACAGATACCCTGCAGAGACATGAGGACATGAGGACTCTAGAAACAGTATCAGAGAGACGTGACATCATAGAGGGGTGACATCAGAGAGGCGTGACATCAGAGAGAGGAGTTGCCACACTGCAGCATAAAACCATGTGTTAAATAAAACAGATGAATTGTTGCTGAAAATGAAGTTAAATCATTTGTGATGACATCATCATTTCAAGATTTACATTAAAACATTTGGAAGTAAAAACAGGATGAACTCAGTGCTCGTGTGCAAAGCTGTTTCCATCTTTAGCGATCGTATTAAATGATGCACTTTCAATACTTTCATAGATCCCTTTATACTTATTCTACAACTATAACTGCACATCTATTTATACTTTTAAAAAACATTATTGTATTTTAAATGTTACTTAAAAAAAAATAATGTTTTTCAGATCCAATGAATTTTTAAGTATTGTTGCAGAGAAAATTTATCATAAAAAATATATTTTTTTGCACAAACCTTTTATACTTAATCAAACAAAATATTACTTCCTGGAACCATTTACAAGTCATATTGTGGATCCTACAGAGCCCCTGAAGTCCCAAAAAGTTAAAAAAAAATATATACTGTATATACTATATATATTGTGCGCACAAGATTTTTTTCTTTTTTACTTTTTGGGACTTCTTGGACTTTGTAGGATTAAGTTATATTCATTTTTTTTAAATCCATTTTTAAAGTTTTCCACAAATGTTTTTTGCAGTTCCATTTCTATGCTTCACAAAGATTATTTCCACATAATTCTTCACATTTTTTTGTTAAACCCATTATACCTTTCAAAAATATTTCTCATGGTCCATGAAGACTTTGATCGTCTTTTTATATACAGTACATTTGCTGATCCATCTATCCTATTTCACAAACATTACAGATACGTTTGCCTCTTAGCTCTGTTATATCTGATGAAGGGCGAGGAAATTAACAGTCTGTTGTTTTTTGATACAATGAGATAAAACGTAGAGTATTATAAAATAAGAGTTCAATCAGGGTTTGTTACTGAGATAATAATGACAGTGGACTGACATTGTTGTTAACATGAACCTCAGACTGGACTCAAAACAAAAACAATCACTGAGAGTGTAAGAAGAAAAGTGAGTGTCATGCGTTGTCATGGCATCAAAAACATCCCAAATTCAACCACGACGTGCTCTTGTGGGATTTTAAACACTTACATTACAAATACTTCACAATCTAATTCACAAAAACTGCTCGCACAATGACTAATTATTCAACAGACACACATAAGACACTGAGCTGTTTAAGGTGTTTGTGTGATGTTAGATGTTAGAGACAACATACGGTACCTCTGTTGCCTTTCCATGCACAGGCAGCAGGCAGAGTGTGAGCCTCACTCCTGGAGCTCAGTCAGAGCCACACAGCATGCAGCTCTATCATCCTTACTCTGCGCCGGGCCGTCCACGCCGCTGCTGCCGGTCGTCATGCTGCGACTGCGACTCGTCAGCTTCTTCAGCTCACTGGCAAAGGAAATGACCTTTCTTTTGTCCTCACGCACAACCTGGGAGCAGAACAGAGATTGTTGTTACAGAAATACAGAAAGAAAAGAAAGACTGACTCAACATTCAGCATTTTTTCCTCCTTAATGTACCATTAATCTCTATCCTATATTATATATTTTATTTCAATGTGGGTGATGTTTCTAGTTGTCTTCATTGACTTCCACAAAGACTTTCTTTTGAACCTTTATTCAACAAGGCAGATGATTTAAAACAGTCTGGTTTACAAACATGTCAGCAGAAACGACATGGGAGTGAAACGTTGGTTCATCAATCAAATTAATTGTGAAAAACAACATTTTAAATACGTAAGATCTGGAAAACAAGAAAAATATGACACTTTAATAGCAGTCACAAACAAAGTAACAGACAGTAGCAGCAGTGAAAACAGACACAGTCCATCATGCAGGAGTTAAAGCACACAACATGAACACACTGAGCTGAATGAACAAACAAACAGGCATCACAACTATTGCACATAACTTTTCTGGTTGAGGTGTTAGAGAAGCACTTTCACAAAACAAAAGACAAGCAGACAATAATGCACTGAGGTCAGTTATGTAGTACATACATTAAACATCCAAACACATAAAATAGAAAGTTAAAAGTCTAGTGCTACAAATCCATCACCATGTTTTGTGCTACCTGCTCTTTGAATTTAAGAATGAACTTCCCCGCTCCCCGCCAGCGGCTCTGGGCTTGAAAGACGCACTCGTGATCCAGTAGCAGACGCTGCAGCGGTTTAGCCGCGGAGGACTTCTTGGAGCCGACGTCTTTAGTAACTTCTTCCATCAGGGCGTAGTCACACGGGTTGGGATTAGAAAGGATACTGCAGGAATACTTGGCCTTTGATAAAGTCTGTAAAGACAAAAAGTGTATGAAAAAGGTTAGGTTTCGTAAACACCTGGAAAAGTAACAGACGTGCTTTTTTTGACCCTCCTCACTTGCTGTATGATGTCCTGAGCTGTGCTGTAGCGCGGCGCCTTGATCACAGTGTGAGGCTGTTCTGGTGAAACTTCATGGACCTGGACGAAGAACATGTCGTCCTCTGCTGCTCTCCTCCTCCTCCTCCTCCTCCTCCTCCTGCTCCTTCTCTGCCCCCAACAGTCACCTCCTCCTCCCCCTCCAGCACTGTGTTCTTTTCATTTAAGTTCTGCAAAAACTAAAACAAAACAAACACTAAACATACTGGAGAAATCTAGATTCCAACAACCAACCGGTTCTGCTGAGAGGAAAAGTTACAAAGATTTCTAAATTAGTGTTCGTTTTGTTTCATCCAATGTTTTGTTGTTTTATATTTTACAACCACAAGGGGGAGCCAGAGTCTGCAAAATGTAGGAGTCAGAACCGTCAAGCGCTTCCAGTGGAAATAATAAGTTTGTTAAATTTAGACAGAAACATTTAAACAGGTCAACACCAATTATTAAAATGTTTACTTTTCCATAAAGACACAGGTCCCTGCTGTGAGAATACCAGCACTGAGTGAAGATAAAATGGAGCTCTCTGTGATTGTACCTCCTCTCTGGTTTTGAGGCAGATCCTCCCCACGTATCCCTCCTCAGTGTTCCAGCTGGAGACCAGTCTGAGCACCTCCTCCTCGGGCGCCAGAGGACGATGCTGAGCGCAGCGCTTCACCTCACTGCGCTCCTTCAGAAGAGGAATCCTCTCCTCACACAGAAAGTACTCTGAAGGGTTTCCTGATAACGCTAAGACCTGTAGAGGGGTTTGAGAGGGAGAAGCATTCATGACAAAGAGCAAGACAGAAATCTCTTTGCTTGTTCATGCTGCAGACACATGATTCAAGCATCGCAGCTCTTTATTTTTATTTCGACAGCACAGACCGTGTCCAGCAGCTGTTTGGCCGTCGTCTGTTCTGTGACACTGAACACAGTGCAGGGCTCAGGACCAGGCGCCCCGTACACCGTCACCCTGTGCTGCTGTGAGACACGTTTCTCCTCTGAGCTGAAGAGCTGTGAAGAGAGCAGGAGAAGTACTGTTCATAAGTATTTTTATATTATTTGAATTGGAAGCACAAGAAAGTTTCTTTACTTGGGTTCAAATAAATAAATATATACCGGTAAGTATAACCATTAATTTGATTATCAGCAAATACAAATGTACCCATGCTGCTACAAAATGCTTCCTTTTAGCATTGTACTATAATATAAAATGTGTTTTGATGAAAATTAAAGCAGTAATTAAATAAAACATGAGTGCTGTATTTTTAACCACTTTCATCATATTTGATTTTAATGAGATCACAATATATTCAGTCACTTTTACCCACTGGAGTTCTGGCATTACAAATGCTTCACATTGGTTTAGTGGAGATATAATATCAAATGAAACTCTATTTCTCAGAAATTCAGAAGACGTCAAATCTTACCTGTGATGCGGGAGTAGCGCCCCCTGTAGGACCTTCCTCTGTTCTGCGGCTGTAGATAAACAGGCTGGAAACTTCCAGAGGTTCGTTATGTTGAGTCCTCAGCTGGACATGTCTGTAACCTGAAACACACACAGGAACACAAACCTCAAATAAACTGATATTGTTTTGAAGATTAAAAAATAATTCAATAAGGAGGTTAACTCTGTCTCTATCCTTCTTCAGGTTACATCTGTAGTGACTTAAACTCGTACCCTGCTTGAGGGCCTTCAGAGGCAGAGTCCTCTGAGCTGTCGTCTGGGAACTGTTGTTTTCCACTACGGCGAAGCGCAGGAAGCACATGTCCTCAAAGTGCACGCTGAACGTAAAGTGTTCGTTCCACATGGGGTTGAGAGTGTTTCGATGGATGGGTTTGGTGCGGAAGTGGCAGCTGTCAATGGGCATGCCCAGAATGTCTACCTCCAGGCAGGGGCTGCCTGCGCTGTTACCAGGACAGACGTTCTGACCAGACACAACCTTAGAGACAAAAACACATGTGGTTAAGATTTCTTATTCCACTAAAGCAGGCTGGAGAAGCCAAACATTAATCAGTGAGGTCACTCTGACCTGCCAACTTCGACTCTATTTCACCTTCTTTCCGTCTCTTTCTCTCACACAGACACACACATGCAGAAACTGGTTTTATGAGTTTGAGATCATCCGTCTGTTTATACCGCTGCCTTCAGCAGACCTGAGTTCATGTTGTCTCTGAGAGCTTTGGAGCAGAACATCTGAGATTGTAGATGATCATGAATGTCATTAGATAAACAGTTTAATTAAAGGTAGAAACTCTATCAACATAAAAACTAATTATTGAAATTATTGAGGCTGTGATTATATAAATAACTAATACTTAAAAAATATGAATGAACATATTATGCCAACAGAATTTAGACTTTAAATATGCACGACCTTTAAAGCAGATTTGAGACTTTAGATTTAACTGCTGGCAAGGACAATAAATACAGACAGATGAGAGGAGGGGGACAGAGTGTTGTTGACATATTGAAAATCTTCTATGACGCTCTGTTCTCGTTCACTGTTAAAAAGAATTAACTGGGTGGCCTTCACGACTGTCACAATAATGAAAGCAAATACACAGCATGTCACAATAAACCTGTCCAACACAACTTTACAGACCTAATTTCAGCACTGTAAAGTCTGATGATGTCAGTGCAGTCTTTGCTGTTAAAGGACAGAGAAAAGGCCAAAGAAACTTAGGAGAGGGCATCAACTTAGTAATGCTAAATATTTGAAAGTATGATTAACTATTGTTAGTTCTTATTCTTTTGACTATTGTTATAATATGTAATAACTATTGTTCAGTTGTTTTATTGTTCACATTGTTATCCTTGAAATGGATTGAGCATGACAACTAGATTTTAAGATAACATTGTAGCATTAACATATGTCTGCTGTTGATTCATGTACATCATCCCTTTGGAAATGAAGACATTCAAATGTATATATTGAAACCCCTTATTTTGAATTCTTAATTTTAAATGTAGTGTTTTAACATTAAAGAAGAAACAGAAGTGTTTCTTAAAGCCAACAAATATCCTCACTTCACACACGTTAGTACTTGTGTTATAATCTGAGATTCATAAACTAAGGTGTGAAACAAACAATAAGAGAGAGATCGTGTTCTTAAGGTTAAAGTAGACTTCCTGACTGATGTGGTTTCCTGCTCCATTCGTCATCTTTACTCACAGTTAGAGAGTAGACGGCTGGGCTCATTTTCTCCACGTCTCTCTCCATGGGACAGAACTGCTGATAAAGTGGACAGCTGCGGTCCCATAGCACTGCCGGCTTCAGGACGTAGCCACAGCCCCCATTGGCCTCAAACAGAGCAGTGTTTAACTGCATGGGGAGGTCTAGGAAAGAAAGATAAAACAATTTACGGTACTCTGTGTTCATGTCTTCTTTATCGTCCACTAATCTGGCTTAAGTGTTTAGTTATTTCACTGTAATAAAAACATTCTAATCATGTCTTTTCATACAAAGAAAGAAGTGACTCTCTTCACACTGTCCTCACCATCAGTCTGATAGTTGAGTGCCACCAACTGAATGCCGTGCAGCCAGAAGAGCATAGGGTTCGGGTTTGTCGAGTCGATCCTGGTGGCTGCTGGGTAAGTCCTGAGCAACTGAGACACTGTGTGGTGGATCAGCTTCTGCGAGTAACGCCGGCACAGACGCTTGGCCGCGTTCTCGTTGACGGAGGAGATGTGGTAGCACTTGGGCGTGCGGATGATGGCGCTGAGAGAGGTGGGGGGGTTGAGGGTGGGGGACGTCTGCTGCTGCTCCTCCCAGCTTAGCCGCTCGGTGCCACCTAGAGGGAGGGGAGAGTGGCGTTAAGCATGTTCTTGTCAATCTTTGATAGTCATGGTCCAGAAAATGATCCCATTCTAACAAGAAAACAAGCTTTAATCTTTCTCGACATAAAAAGACATAATAATAACTCGTATCGATGCAGGCCTGCTTAGGGCATCCATAGCAGAGGTTTTGGTTTTTTAATCTGTGTTTGTGGGAGGTTTGATCTTTTTACTTCATTGCGCTAAAGGAAAAAAAACACAACTGCATGACTTTGAGACCTTTCAGCTTGAAATTCCTATTTTTAAATCAAAAAACATTCCTTAAGAGTTAGAAAATCTACCTTGATTTTTTTTAATTACAGAAAACGAACTGAGCCAACATTCAGTTTTATGAAACACAAGGATTAAAAACTCTAAAATGATATGCAGGTCTGCATTACTGGTTCAAATAGAGTCATAACAAACACTCTGAAACCACTGACTCATTCCGGTGTGCTTTGTCCTGATGAATCACATTTCACAGACTACAGCATGATTTGTTACAGCCTGCTTTGGACTGTGGTCGGTAGACAAACACATTCTCCACCTCTTTACTTCTTTGTGAAGTGGTGGAGAATATGTGCTGGATTTACTGAGAAGTTTGACATTTTTTTTTTTTTTAATCTCTATTTCTCTCAGGTTGATATAATATAACGGTACATTATTTGATTTTAATGCTAATTCCATTTATTTATTTTTAAACACATTTCCATCCTCTCCAATATTTCTGAAACACACCCAAAATAAAGAACGGTAATAGATAAATTACCTCTCCCAGGGGTGCGGTTCTGGGTCATGACCTCTCCTGTTGTGCTGCAGCGAGCAGGAGCAGTGCCAAATATGGACTTCCTGCTCTTTCCGCGGTCCTTCCCCCTGCCAGAGCCGGCTGGAGACAGCGTGGACAGGCCTGTGTTCCCACACACACACACACATACGAGGCAGACAAGGAAAGTGGTCAATAATGCAAAGCAGACAGAGTGGAGACAGCACACTGTAGAACACACATGACATCACTATCCCTCTCAAAACCCAGAACTCATTTTCTCTAAATGCTGTTGCTTTCTTTCATAATGAGGAAGTTGGCCTTTTCGCTGCCAGACAGCACATCAAGTGCAATTGTTCATGTCAGATCAATGTCTGCTCCCAAGGATTTAAAATATGCCCTGCATTCTGAGAAGAGGGAGGCTTTTATTTAAGATCATTCAAATATTAGTCTTCTACTTTTTAGAAGTAGCATGTTCCTCTACAACCAGACCCTGAGCAGTCTGCTGTCCATGGAAACAGTAAACAAATACAAAAGCAGTGGAAACATGGGCAAGTTTATAAGGGCACATGTCATGCAAAAACATTCAACACTAGATAAGAGATTGATATTAAAGGGATAATAAGAAATAATTGGGATGAATAGCAGCAAAGAACAAACATAGAATCCAATAACGAGGTATTAAGAGAACTGTTTATGAAGGTATGTTTTGGGACAAATCATGTCTATCCCATGAGGGACAAAAAGGAATCTCCATCTAAGTGGGTGTCCTGTGTGGGAGAGGAATGGATTATAACAGAGGGATATTAAATGTCCTTCAATGAAAAAAAACCTAAAAAAAAAAAGGGAGAGGTTTGACCTCTGAAACATAACATGGGAGTGGATTAAAGTAGGACAAGTCAGAATGGAGTTTAAGAGGAGGGAGTAGAAGAACATTTTGACAGAATTAAGCAAAGGAAAGGAAAGGGACATGGAGTAATGCTTAAAAATCTACCAGGGAATTTCACAGCCTGGCAGTAGATGATGAGGTCGGACAACTCCTGGGCAATCTGTCGACTCTCCTTTTTGTTCTGAGGGAGGTAAAACTCCTCACCCAGCTCCATATCAAACACCTGAACATGAAGGAGACAGGGATCACAGAAAACACTGTTTTACTTGAAGAGAAGTTATAACAGTCTCATAAATATATTGTACATCATTATTAAGTTCAGTAAGTTAGTATTAACAGTGTTAAGCAGTACGGTCAGTTTGATACTGTCGTTCCTAACCTTTCCTTTGCTCTGTGTAGTGCTATCAGACTTTTTCATCCTCTTGGGTATTTCATCAACAGGTTGCTCTTCTTTGTCCACCGAGCTCTTCCCCTCCGGCTTGTCGTCCAGGATGTTATCTATTGAGAAAATAAGACAAAAAATCAGGAGTGCTGAATATGCTGCTTAAACTTTTTTAGTGCGGCGTCAAAGTGCTCAGATTGAGTAGACAGGATTTCAAACTGGCTTCACTTTCACACAGAGATGTAACCATCATGGCCGCCTGTGAAAGCTTGAGGAACCTGACAACCAAACACGAATGTCCAAAGACACACCTCTCTTTCAGGATATATTTCACCTTCAGAACATATTTCTAAATATATAAGATCATCATTTCTGCTCAACATCTTCCTAATAAGTGTGTCTGTAAGCACAGCAGGCTGCATGACTAATGGTTATACATTAGAGCTGGTGTGACAGTTGATAAACTGTATGTTAAATTCCCAGGATGACATCAAGTATATCCATAGAAGTAAATTTGCAATCTGGGAATCTTACTTCTAATAAAAACAAATGTTGACAAGAGAGGAGCTGGATTTATGCTGTGACATCACTAAACTCTAAACATGAAATTTACAGCTGATTACAATTTACAAAGTCTTGGGACTTTTGATAATTGAGATGACAATGTGTAGTGTGAGATTCATTGAGATATTTAGAGATTAGTTTTTCCCTTAATAGGACTACATGTCAAAACAATAACAGGAATGACTTTACAGCTATAAGCATTCATCCTATTCTTAACTACTTGCAGATCCCAGTGTAAGTATTTTTGTGAGCAAAGCTGAACAAGACCCCTTTAAAGCAATGTCTCTGTAAACAGGAGCATCATTAGGGAGTTCTTCCCTTTGCTCTTGTTACTCCTACACAAAAACATTGCAGGAAACGTATCAGCTTGAAAATGCAGAAGTTTGCTGTTATCATAGAAAACTAGAGTGTGACAGAAGGACGCTAACGTTACACCAGCTTGGTGGCAAAGTAACAGTTATACGCTCATGTGTTTGTATTGACTGTCGCAGAGTCGAGTTATATAGATGAAGCTGAGGTTTTTTGTTTTTTTTTCCATTAAGGGTTAGGGTTAGGGTGTTTTAATGACATGAGGTTTAGATCAGAAAAATGCCGTTTGTTTTTAAAGTCCAACGAGTGTAAACTTCTACGACAGGGACATGCAGAGGGCAGCAGTAGTAGGATGGGAGAAGTTCTGGGTCTGGGACCGGGACGGGGTAGTTTCCCCCTGGTCTGTTGTTTAGTGTGGGGGCAGCGTAGGGCCTGAGAAACCAGATGGCTTTGTTTTGTTTCCCTGATGAGCCTGCCCAGCCACTGGCGAGGTCACAGACAAATACAGTATAGTATGAAGGGGGAGGGGGGGGGGGGGGATGTGTTTGTTGGAGAAAGAGGAATCATGCAGACAGCTTAAAATCAAAACACAGACTAAAATGAATGAAATGTTGTTAACTACACACACATCTGATTCCAATGTCACTCACAGTTTCTAAATAAACTTGTTGGACGGTTTTAGACAAACTACAGCTTAGGTTAAAGCAGAACATCTAAGAAAGTGTAGCAAACAAGCAGACAAGACACAAACACAACACAAGCTCTCTTAGCAATTACCATAAAAGTACAATAAATTACGATAAAAACACATGAAGGTTACTCCTATCACAGAGTTTGTACCATACAGAATCTTCTATAGACAGATCAGACATCACAGATGAAGAATAAACACAGTGCTAACAAAGTCACCTCAGTTCGCACATGGACCAAGAAAAACGAGCTGGAAGTTTGAGATGACTGTTGATATTATTATAATATAATAATGTTGATAAAAGAAGTGTTTTTATAAAACATCCATTAATAGAAAAAATAAATATGTGAGGATTGTAAAACCAAAGTCAAGTTCTTAAACCATTACAAATCAAAGTCATTCAAACACAAATTATGTGATGTCCAAACAAGCTGAAAGCTAGCAACTGTGACATGATGAAGGCAGGTACATGAGTCAGTACACAGCAGTAATGCAGACTACTTCAGCCAGCTATATACCGGTGTTTCCTTTGTGGTTATTTTGCTTTGGTAGATAACCTCAGCGAGACACATTCACAACAGGAACTCTCTTTTCGATCAATAGACAAAGTTGTGAAACAACTTTTAACTTTTAAGTCTCTCATAGGTTTAATCAACTACCAATGAAAAATGATATAAAAAGGAAACGCTGGTACATAGAGAGAGCCAGGCATTTACCTTCAAGGCCATATGAGGCAGTAGAGGCTGTGAGGACATCAGCTAAGTGAGGAAAAGGCAGGGGGGAAAAAACAGGAAAGGATGGGAGTGAGAATAGAGAGACAACATAAAGAGAGGCTGAAGTGTTAAAAAACAGAGAAAGAATAAAGTTTGAAAAAAAGAAACATATTCAAGTCTCAAAAAATAAGAATATCTTATCATTTTCAGTGTGACTTCGCCTGATAATCTCTGAATATTTTGAGTTTCCTTCAGGTGTTTTCTTTTGAAGCTCTGAGGAATCTACAACCAAGAATCACAAATGGGATAGCCGCTCTCCTTACCATCTGATAAAGACTCGTAGTCGTAGTCGTACTCGTCTTCTTCCTCCTCCTCTTCCTCATTGGTGTGGTTGCTTGGCGAAGTAACCCCTGGTGATCCATTGCTAGCCTGGGCCTGCATGTGGGCCAGCTGATGAGCCTGGGAAAGGGTTAGAAAATAAAGTGTAAGTGCTTTTATAACACATCTTCTGTATAAGTAACTAACTGTCACAGAGCTACATCTGTAGCTGATGTATGCTCTGTATCTATCCCTTACATTTAAATATACAGTCTCCTATCTGCACAGAATCTGTAGTACATATATACAGCAGCACTTTCTGTCTGTGAGGTAAACTGATAATAGTGTTTACATTTGAGCACATTAGCATCTTGAAATTTATGTGTGAAAGCAAAGTGCTAAATATTGCATGCACTAATGCTACCTGAAAGGCCGTTAAAAGGATAGTTTATGTGAAATATAAATAATGTATTGATATATGTGTGAACGACATGTTTTTTCTTCATTCTAACCTTCTGTTTGAGGATGTCCACGGGCGCCTGGTGAGCTTTGAGTTTCTTGTTCTTCAGGAGGATCCTCCCTCGCAGCTGCAGCGGCGACGGTAGGTGAGGGTCGTCGCTGAAGTCACTTTCAAAGAGGAAGCGTGTCACGAGACGTTCCCCAAACACCGTCTGAAGATCAAATAAATAATACGAATTATTGATGTGTGTGTATCAACCTCATGTCAGACAATGTGTGCAGAATGTCAAGTGGAAGGGGGAGAGGAGAATCAAAGTGTTGTTATCAACACAACATAACATTTCAAATAAACAAGCCTGCGGTGACATAAGATGGCTGGAGGCACCGAGCTGTTTGAACATGAAAGACTTTTCTTTATCAAGCCGCTCAGAAGAAGTCAGTCTCCAGGGAGGAGAGGATGCTGGGAAGTTTCGTTACATGAAAGCAAGATGATATTCCATGATGTGACTGTCCTGCCCTGATATGTTTGGCCTTGATTTTGATGTCTTAAAAAGAAAAAGAAAGGGAAACTTGTAACCTAAAGATCAGAAAAGCAAGCATCTGGCTGGAGCCAGATGGTTCAAATGCCCACAGCAGCAAGAAACCAAGCAAGGAGCATAATGAGTGGAGTGCTGCCCTAACTTGAAAAGTGCTGCAATAAGCATCTGTGAGGAAAACATTTCTACTGGAGGAGACTGGCTCTACTTCAAAGTGTAGATGCATGTAATTCCCTGAATATAAAGCAAAGTAATGCTAACAAGAACACTGAGAAACTAAGAAAAACCTGCCCCGTCTTTCAAAGAAATGCTTCTTGTTAATATTTAGAGGTTACCTGTGAATGCTATAAAGGTAACACGATGGAAGGAGTTTTGTTTACACAGATGACAACTACTGTAACTCTCCAGTCTCTATTTACATGATCTAAGAGTTTAATATCAATGACATCAGGGCCATACATTGAAAACATTCATGATTAAAGATACTGATATCTTCAGTCATATTTTGTATATTAGTGTACAGTCTTTATTTCAAACACAGTAGATGTCCTACCTTAAAGATTTCAGCCATCTTGCGCTGCTGTGGTAGAGAGCAGTGGTTTTCGATGGACAGGATGACGGGCATGTCAGAATTGACAAACGCAGCGCGGTTAACAGCTTCCACCACATCCTGGAGGATCATGGGAGAAATGAAATTCTTAGGAATGGTCCTTCAGGTCAAATACAAATAAACACATTTGAATGAAAATCGTTAATTATAAGAATTACTTTAACAGCCCTTAAATACATCATCAATTTAAATACAGGTGTTAGAGGGCTGGGATTTCATTAAATAGGATTGATTTGGCCTTCAAGGAAATCTGGATTGTTAACTGAGGTCAGCTCATGTGTGCTTCAAAATCTGATTAGTTTGCTGAACCAAAATAATTTCTGTCTATAGGCCTTATGGAAGCAGACGGCAAGGGTCTAGCATTCAAAGGAAGAATTTGTTCTGGATTATATCTGATTAAAAACATTTCCAACCTTAAAGGGAATCTTCGTGGTGAGTGTGTGTCCATGATAAATAACTGGCATGCCGTCGTCTCCATCCCAACAGTCCAACTCGACACTCCTGCAGCCTTGCAGCAGCACCTAATATTCAGACATCAATCATAACAAAAAAGGTAAATAAAGGTAAAAAATATATGTATATATATATATAAAATCAGGCTGCTCACTAAAGTAGTTTCAGGAAGTGGTCTGAACAGCTTACTCACCTGACTGTAGAGCTCTACAGAGGACTCTCCTTTGAGCTGGTGTCCTGTCAGATAGGTGTTATGAGAAGACTCGATGTAGTAGTAGGAAAGAGGGTACTGCAGCTCCTCCTGGTTAATCTGTGACTCCTCCATACGAGAAGCTAAGTTCTCCTTATCCATCAGGAACCTGGCATGAGAAGAGGAAAGGTAACACATCAATACATGAAGAAGCTGTTGGACTGAATATAACTAGATCTAATGTTTTTTTGTTTACCTGGCGAAGCCTTCAAATGACATCCAACCCATTTGTCTCATGCTTGCTGAAGGCTCAAATTTCTGCAGGATAATAACAAAACATTTACTAATGCTTAATCAGCGTCTTGTATTGGTAAATCTTTTCTTTCTTTGCTCCTACCTGTATGATGCTGAGAATCTCGTCGTAGCTCAGGTGCTCTCTCTGACAGTTGACTAGGAAGTCGTTGAGTTGAGGGATAGCCAAACCCAACACCCCTAGAGAAGAGTTTTCCACGCCTGTCCCGTTGGTAACAATGCTGGCTGCTGCAATGGCGTCTGAGATCTGCTTCTGGTTGTCTGACATCTGCTGCCTTGTTCGGATAAACAGGCCGAGATCTGAACCATTGCGAGTTAATAAGTCTGCAGAGGGGAACAAGAGATTAGGATAGAAGGATGGAGAAAGAAAGAGAAACAATGTGGTGCTTGTACACATTATTTTGGACAAATGAGGTCAGTGAATGTAAAAGTCGTTTTTTACCGAGGTCTGGCTGAAGCCCCGTGTCTTTGTCGTCTATGCTGAGGTTTGTGTAGAGAGGAGCAGATTCTGGACTGGAACGACTACAGGGGACAGCAAAGGTGTCAAAGAGCTCCTTCAGATCCTTTCTGCTGCGGATACTGTGAGGGAAACAACACAAAGGGGAATTCAGTGCAAATATAAACACCTTAGACAGACAAGCAGTTTTTTAAAAGTATGTCAATTTCAGATCACAGACACATTTGTGTAAAAAAAAGTGTTTGATCAGCAGAATAAAACTTGTTGCTCTATATGAAACATCTCTACTACAATCTTTAAAGAAATTAGCAGTATTTCATGACCTGCTGAAATACTGTCATTCTTTTTTCCCTTTATGCCACGAGCTACAGTATTGTTAATGTAAAATAAAATAAAAATGCAGGGCAGTTTATGAGATGATACGCCACAATCTAAGACATGTAGGTAAACTGTTATCTAAAACGTATCAGAGAAAAATATAGTTCCCTTTCATTTAAAAGTTAAAAATAATACAGAAACTGAGAATTATCAGACAGGACTTCTTGGAAAATGTGCTCGGCATGACTGCAGAGGGGAAACATTTGTTGAATTTCTTTTATCAGACTGTCTTTGGTAGCTATTGATAAGGACACAACAATGATGTAACATGACAGAGCGACATAGCAAGAGACACTGAGCAGAACATCTTTATTATACACATATTGATGCTTCAGAACTTGACCAAGTGACAGACTTAAAGATATACAAAGACAAATGTGTTTGATCCCTGTTTGAGTAAAGCAAGTTAAAAATTAAGAATATGAATCAAATGTAAAACATTTTTAATTTGTCCTGTACAGCTGGTACAGTATTTAAATACCAGCTCAAGTAAAGGATTTCCCCCAGAATTTTCTTTAGTGCAACAAAAAAAAAGGCAAAAAAAGAGAAAAGGAATCTAGTAGAATATTGTTTGGTTGATACCTGAATGACTTAAAGAGCTCGACAAACTCAATGAAGCTCATCGTGCTGTCTGAAATCATGAGGTTCTGGAAGCCTTTGAAACAGCCTTTACCTCGACCGTGCCACGACCTGCTGTTCCAAGAACTACAGGAAACATAGAAGAGATCCAAATAATACAAGAAGAGTTCAATATATCACATTTCCAATCTTCATTAACAACACAAGACTCACCCTGGTTGTGACTTGGTATTTCCTGAGAGAACGGGAGAGGATTGTGGGCGGGACTGGTTAGATCCCGCCACGCTGGAGGAAGAGGAGGAGGAGGAAGAGGAGGCTAGCAATCCAGGGCTCTTATTGGATGTAAGGGAGAAGGGTCCAGGGAAGTTGTCGTCTATGGAGGCAAATAGATCAGAGAGTAATTAAAACGTATAGAAACACAGCATAATCTGTTTCCAACTTATTATTTGACTTAGTTTTTGTGTAGTCTTTGGGATACTTACCTCACTTACAGCATACATCTACACATTTTGACTCTTTGTTTTTTGTTAACAGCTAGAAGTTAAATGTCACCTGGATCATCTTGGTCGATGCTGTCAGACTCTGGTCCGTTTCGGTACAGTCCCTCCTTACAGCTCCGTGTTTTCCTGGAAACCATCTCGTCATCTGTGGCATCCCCACTGTCTCCCTGTGGTGGGTTTATGAACACATACTGCATTTAGTACAAGAAACAACAGATGTTTGCTGTAGGTGAAGACTGAACTGTTAACTGAACCAAAGGTTTGCTCTAAGTGTTGTGCATTGAATTGTTAACCAATCTATGTTACAGTAGTTATTATGAGAGGAAATGTTAAATGGTTTAATAGTGTCACTTGTATGCTGTGCCACAAGAGCGATCTAACTTTAGAACTATAATAAGTACTAACCCTGACAAGGACCTTCTTCTTCTTCTTGGCTTTATCGTTGATGCTCAGGGGGCTGTTTTTCTGGGCAGCAGATTTCTCCACTCCACCTATACCCATGTTCCACCTGCGCCCACCAAACAGCTCGATGGCATGGGCCAGTGTAGGTCCCTCGTACCTCCCGTCCTCCTGACAGAGACAAACAGGCAGACACAGACGAAGTTTTGATGTCAACATCTGTTTGCTGCACACGTTTAGAAAATAAAGTTAATTCAGGTATTGTTTTATTTTCAAATGTTTTAGGGATTTTTTCACATCTAATGAACAATAAATAATTTTAAGTTATAGTTTGTTTAAAAAGGGGGAGATATTAAACCACAAATACAGAGTAAGTAAGAATAAGTATCAACAAACAAAGTGTATACCTGATACAGGCTGACATACTGTCTCCTCAGCCACTGCAGCCTCTGGTCAGGAAACTTCTTTAATTTCCTGGTTGCATTCACCAACTCTGACAGGCCCTTATGCAGCATCCGTGCAGTGTGGTTAGGGGCCACAAAGTGCAGCAGTCTAGAATCACAAGTAAGGAAATAAATGAAAATAAGTTATTAACAGGGATATCGTTACTGATGGAACAGTGTAGCTAAGCAACAGTGTTCAAAAATGGATTTCATAGCACAGTGCTAATGGAAACCAGGGGGCACTAACCTGTTGTCAGTGGTACTGAGGCCATAGAGAAGGCTGAGACCATTCTCCTCGACTGTCATCTGACTCAGCTTGTTTTGTAAACATACGGCATGAACGTCCACTCCTTGATGACCCAGGAACACTGCCTGCACATTTAAGGAATCACTATGTTAAAATAGTGTAATCTCAGAAATGACCATCAATTATTTTCAAACACAAAACTAAATACTAATCCAAATGAGATAAATAAATATCCATATCAGCTCTATGTGGCTTTTTCATAACACACCTTCACAACTCCCAGGTCCAGAAGGCCCTCTGCGAGTCCTGCCACCACAGCCTGTCCTAATCCCAGAGGTGGCTCTGAGGGGGAAGCCCCTCCGCTCTGAGGCTTACCTGCAATAAAGGAACACATTTACAACATGTGTCAACGGCAGTAAAGGCATAGGACATTGAACTTTCACAACCAGTTTACACTGTGTATGTGTTACAAAAGACATGGCACCTACCTGCCATGTATAAACACTTAACAGATTGATTAATTTTTTTTTATTCTGAACGTCTGCTCTCCCTTAGTTTGAAGAGGTATGATAGGAGAGGTAATGGGCCTTGTCTCCAGGAGGTATAACATCTTAAATGGTACAACCACAACCAAGGTGAATCCGTTTAGCAGTTCTTTAAGTTCATTTTAATCTGTCTTAAAATCAGTAGCAGGAATCTTTTAAGAAGAACAATGTTAGAAATTGTAAATATTGTCTACATTCAACAACAGTCTAAACAATACAAACTCTAGAACAGGATAAGATTGGAAAGTTGGAAGTGAAACTTAATTCTTTTAGTAGATTTAGTTAATTGAAGGACAGATACCTATGCCTTTTAAATTATATCAAGATGTTTTCAATGACTCTCTGTACAATTATTTACCCCAGGTGAGGGTTGTGTTGTCGGGTTGCAGTCGCAGCAGACAGCGAGCTGTGAGGTGGCTGTCCTGGTCGTAGTGGATGACTGTGGCTCCCTGCAGCAGAAACTGGTGAACATCTGGCGGTAGCGACAACACATACCTGGAAAAAGACAACAATGGAAGTGTTGATTGTCTGTCCAGCTATCTATGTGTGTGAGCATGCATGTGTGCATGGTGAGTGTTTCCTACCAGGGTATGAGCTCAGTGCCATGGCTGAAAGCTCTGTGTGTCTCCTCGGTTCCCTGAAACTCCACCTCTTTCACCAACGACTCAGACGACAGGTCGCCCTCAGAATCCGACAAGTCTCCCACCATGAATCTGGACATGGAAAGAAAGGTCATACAGAACAATTCAGTATTGGAATTTCTAATTTTGGATTCACTGTTTCAAATGGGAATTGGCAAATGTATCAGATAATGCATTTATTCAAACTACGTACAACAGCAAGGGAGGTAAAGCAAAACATGTTGACTAAGAAAACAGTAAGAAATGACCAGCGTCTACAAAAACGTACTCTGTACTGCAGTTCATAAGCTGAACCAGCAAAAGGGCAGCATGCATTTGTCATTACACATTCCTTGCATCTAAAAAAGCTTTGACTGAAACAACATCTGTTAACCACATTACTCATCAATGTATCAAACTGATGACACTTCTCTGACCACTTACAGGGCACGGTTTGATTCTGGCGCCATCCTAAATGAATGTGAGCTAGAACAGGAGAGAAAAAGGAGAAGAAGCCTGAGATGAATAAAGAGAAGACAGAGAGGTTTCTACAAAAGTTCTCATAAGAATGAAGATGAATAGCAAAAAGAAGATGCCAGGGGGAGGGGGGGGGGGGGATCAAGAACAAAGAAAGGAATTCCTAAACCTCTTTGAGTAAGAAAAATAATATTTATCTGCATTCTTGTGCGGACAAATGAACACCATATCCCTCAATGTTATCATGAGTTTCAATATGGAAATATAACTATGAGTCACAGAAAATGGTCTCGAAAACACAGAGAAGATCATCCAGGTCTCCTTTGTACAAACACCACAGGTCAAGCTTGGAATAAATTAAGTTTTCTGTATGCTGTGTCCAAGTTACCTGCCAGTGCAGTGCGTCTGAAAAGTACCAGAGCTCTGTTCTTTCCTGTCCTGACAGGAAACTAACCTGTTATCTTTTTTTTCTCTGTGACACCGGGGTTTATGTTAACATCACCTCATCACAATAACAATCTGCAAAATGTGTTCCTGCCCAAAGCCATTATCTTGTGACGGTGTTTATGAAAGACAACTGTGGTGTGACTGAACACTGAACTAACACAGAACAATAATTATGCACAGTAGGAGTAAGAGATTCAGCATAATGCACCAGACAGACTGCATATTTCTCTCTGAGAAACAGGGTATCTGTTTAATATTATTAAATAAGTCACATGGCTTTTTATCAATGTACATATTGTGGGAACTCTTCAGCCAGTACATGTGGCTCTTGTCTTTCTTATACCAAGACAGAGAATAAAAGTCGTCGCATTTCCACAAACATTTAACAACTGTTTCTCTGTGTCTAATAGCTAGTGTTAAAGTCAGCTAACTTCATATTTAAGGTGAGGTGAGTCTGGAAGGGAAGCAACATTAGAAAAGCAGATAAGCATTTGACAGAAAAAAAAGAATAGAAAAAGGAACATGTAAAGCCTACTTGAAGCGGTTTGTGAGAAAATGAGATGTGTGTGCTTTTGATTAATAAAGCAAAACATTGGAATAAAAGTTGAGTAAAGTCTAAAAATATGGATGAAATGTTCTTTAAGTAGAACAAAAGATACAAGTTGCCGTTAACAGCCAGAATGAGAAAGAATGACCAAAAACAGAGAATAAGAAGTGATTTGCCAGGGTTTTGATGGCTTGGCTCACATGCTATGTGCCTTCTGATACTCTACTGTTTATCTAATGAGCTTGGTCATAACTGCGCAACATCCCCCACACTCAGATCATCCCTCAGCCTCAGTTATTGGTATACTGTATCATTACACTTTACTGTATCCTTAAGCAAGACAGTAATTTCTGAATAGATCCAGAGCTACCAGGTTCTGCAAACTGTGACATCTTTGAGCCTTTGGGGTAAAAACAAAATGCTAAAAAGCATATGTGAAAGAAAAGTAGTGAAGGAAAAAAGTGATACTGACTGATTGCGGCAGCGGTCCCTGAAGGAGTTGTTTCGGGATGAAAGGGATGGGCCGGTAGAAGAAGGACTGGTGGAGGCATCATCAGGATCCTCTGCCTCCAAACTACGATTACAAGATCTGAGGAGCAGAAAGACAAGAGTGCAAGAAATGTTTAGAACAAAGAAATATGGTGTGACAAGAAACAGTGGGAACTTAAGCATACAACCACAGAAGAGTCAAAGTGTTATTTAACACTGTACCTGATAATCTGGAGGATGTTGCTGACGGTAGCTTCCTTCTCTGGAACGTGCAGACCGTCTGAACCAGAGCGCGACATGAAGTTGTGCTGGCCGCTGTACTCAGAAACAAACTGGAGAGAGGCAGACGGAAAAAGAACAAGATGGATGATGTCTGGTTCTTCTTATGGTCTGGGTCTGGTCTGCTGGATGTTTTCATGTTAGCTCATGGTTGTTTACTGTACCTCTATTGAGTCCTCTGTGTGATCTGGAGGCTGTTTGAGGCTAATGATGCTTGCTGTCCCATCCAAAGCATCACTAAGCTCTTTTAGAAAAACCCCACAGAATGGCACCACCTTTAAGGCGAAAACTCATCTCAATTAAAGGTTTTACTTTAATCATATAACTTTACTACAATCTTAAATAAGTAAGACTGTTGAAAGACTAAGTCATACAACATAACAACTTCAAAAGATTATTGATGACAAACTAGACAACATGAATAAACAGCATCCCACCTTGCATCCTGGGATATTCAGAGCTCTGGTCACCACCTTCTTGTACTCAGCAGAAGACTCGTGCTGAGCCATGGCGTCCTTCAGGCTCCTCATTGTTTCGATGTCAGACTGATCCATGAACTGCCACATCTTCAGCACCTTACGGGACCTGAAGGATGAAGATAATCTCAAATATCAGTCGGTAAATTGGATTATTTATTTATTATTTATTGTTGGTGCAGGTTATTAAAACTAACAAAAAGGGGAAAAAAGCTACTAAAACACTGTTGTACATCTCTGTATAGGGTATGTGAGTGAGTTAGTGCTGGTGTGTGCCTTTAAACCTGAGTCCAGCCAGGAACTCCATGACACTGTTGTAGTTTCCCATGTTCCAACAGCATTTAGCCACATGGACGAGGTATGAGAACACTTCCCTCTTCTCCTCCATGGACCCTGCTGTCAAGATCAGCCACGTCACCCAAGAACTCACCTGTGGAAACAGAGTCACAGAAACACATTGAAAATGATTTGAAAACCTTTGCTGAATGCAGGCGAAACTTTTCATTTAAAGATGCAGAAAAAATGAAGTATAAACCAAAAAAAAAAAAAAAAGGTTTTCTTTCTGGATTGATTGATTGTATATGCTGCCTTCACAATATGACAAAATATGCAATGTGAGATGATATTGAATAAACCAAAAAAGTGCATATTAGCTACAACTCACAGTCTGTTTATGACAATGTTCTCCTCATTACAAAAAAAAAACAAAAAGCTGATTGATTTTTGGGGGAGGTTTATTACTTTATTGGTACTTTTATTTATTTTTATTGCAAATTCTGGCAGTGCATCAATGTTAAAAAGTATTGCACGGTTCTCATTTATTGAAGTTATGTTTTTCATTATTAACATAATTTAATAAAAACAGATCAAAATAAATCCTCTGTGGGGATAAAATAAATGATCACATAGACCTTAATGAGGACGCAAAATGCTGAGGAAAACATTTTAATGGTGAACTCCTCTGATTGGACAATCCACATGAAGGTTGACGTTACCCATCGAATCAGAGAAAAGTGTGTTACAACGAGGCTGTTGCTAGGAGTGTTAGAACCCAGTGAGACATGAGACATGAGGTCCACAGCCAAGTGACGCTCAGCTGAAACTCTGTATTGTGTGTGTGGTCTTACTCGTGCTCATGGCATGCTTTTGAATTGTGGTATGGCAGGCTGTGTCTAAAGCGGTGATGAATGCACAAGAACTTGCCAGCTGGTCACACACACACACACACACACACACACAAGATCAGATATCTATCAGCTGCACTCTGCCACTGTGCTGACTGCCCTCAAGTTCTCACAAACGACACGATGTAAGAGAAAGATATGTATCAGTGACAGTTTCCTTTCCCATTCTCTGAGACTGACACACACAAGCACAGATTTTAATTGAGCTCCTTTTCTCTCCACTCCACTTTCTTAATAAAGCATTAACAATAAAGCCCACACAACGCCGCTGATAAAAAAAAAAGTGCGTAACAGTGGAGAAACAAAGCACGAGATACACCATAGTGTGTGTATCTCTATGTAATTTTACCTCATGGATGTTTTCACACACACAAACACACAGAAACTCCCTAACCCCCCTTGCGTGAGGTAAAAACATCACCCTGGTCCAGAGTTCTGTTACTGGGTTATGTAAGGATCTGTAAGCCCACCTCAATCTGACTTCACAGGGACTAAAAAAAGCCACAGCAACATGCACACAAACACAGAAAACACACACACACAAACATGTAAAGAATATGCAGACATTTGTTTGAGGTTGTTTCTTTGACTTTCTTTTTCATCTATGTCATCTTCGCCAGTAAACTACAAAATGCTACATAACACATATAACCAAACCCCCTCCTCATGTACACGATACAGACCCTTACATACCTTCACAAGGTATGAGGACATAGATACTCACATATCTACCTCAGGCACTTACTGTATATACAAGTGAACACACAGTATATACAGACATGTTCGATAAGGGCCTTTGCTTACACACATCTTACCTCATGAACATATATTCTACAGTCTAGGACAGAAAGTTACATTTTCTTTGGCAGACTCAACAAACCATTACACTATTACCATGAGTGAGTTTCAAATGATGACAAGCAGCTATTTGAAGTCTCTGATTTTCTCCCTATCTAATATGAGTGAAGGAAAGCAAACCATTTGATGCATTCCTGCGTGATAGAAGCATGAGCATGAAGGGGGCTCAGGGTGGGGAAGGTTACTGTGAAAATGTAATCCATCTCAGACTGTCTCCTCTAAAACTGTACTCGCTAACGTCGACTCTCTATTTACTCAAACTGAGACCCATGAAAGACACTCCTCCAGCAGACCTGAAAGAACACGTTTCACTTAAGTTAAAGCTCAATGTAACTGAGGTTCAAGTTTATTCTAAACCAACTGAGGTCCAAACTGCACAATTTTTCCAGTAAATAAATGTGATTGGTTGAAAAATATCATAAATTTGGGTCGTGATTTTTCACTGAGGAGTTGGTGGTAGGTCCTGGGGCTAGAGAAGTTCAGAATCACTGTTCTAGAGCATTCTACCATATCACTTTATCTCGACAGGCAGGTGGAGTTTGTCAGAGACTTGTGAATTAGGGGTGGGAAACAAGATGTTACGATACCATATGATAAGACACCATAACCATATCATATGATATAATATAACACCATACGATACAATCAAACATTGGGATCCACTTTGTTATTGGAATATCAATATATGCTCCTAGCGGTTCAATAACTGTGTCGCATGAGGCAGGACAACGATAATTTATTGAATCTTAATGTTTTCCAAAACCTTTTGTACATTTTACTTCTTATTGCTTTAAAAGTGTAGCTCCTCTATCATCTGATAATCATTTGATATAATTGAAAGCTCCAGAATGGCTAATCAATGGATCTTAGGGTGGGTCTGTTTCCTCAACTGTTTTTATCCAAGGTAAAAGATCAGCTTTTTAGTAGACGTGGAAGAGAGCTCCTTAATTTTCACAGAAAAGTATGAAACATTTTGACATCTCGAGTATCATAACATCTGGAAAGACTACAGGGACTAAGCTTTTCTAAAAATGATGGTATATCAAAAAGGCAACTTAACATCATCTATGTCGTTTACTTTTCACTGTTTTTGCCCAAAAAATAGAGCAACTGTGATGAAATATCTTGCACTGCTGTGGTTCTGTCGCATTGTTATCAAGCTATCTAGAAGATCAACCAACAAACCATGTTACTGAAATGTGAAGATCTCCCTGATCTGACAGTCTCTATCTCTTCTGTCAATAACAAAAAAAAAGGTCAAATGCCCTCATATAAACTTGTAATTAACCCTCCTGCAAACATTTCATTACAATAAACAAACTTAATTCTTTCTCCCAGTATGCCCTCTTAGTTCTCATAACACTGGTTTAACATATCAAACTGCTCAACCTTATCTTTGTGTTGCAGACTGATTGTAATTAGATAGATCACTTTTTAACAAGCTGATTAGATTAATCACACGCAGTGATTGTTTTCTAACCTGTGCCTTTAGTCAGACAGATCAGATACAGATGGTGAGGTACAGAACATCAGTCCTGGAGCTGTTTCTAGACAAATGTACTGTACATGGCTTACTGACAAACAACCCTGCTAACCTACAGACTCTTATCTGTCCCTCCCCTGCTCTGTGCGTTCCAGGATGTGAGCGCCGATGTGAAAATCTGCTATCAGTCACTTGTACTCAGCAGCTGGGTTGAGTTACAGTCACCATCCGAACCACGCTGACGGTCTGCAGAGAGGCTTTTTGAATCGCCACAGATCAAGGCAGTGTATAGTTGGCATATCTTCTGATATTCCAGATCGCATAAATGTGTACTTAGTGTTGTGTATCAGAGATTATAGACAGGATATGAAGGCATGCTATATATAGAGAGAGTGTAACAGCACACAAGAGCAAAACAAAGGGGAGGAAAAAAAGAGATAAGGACAGGAGATGTACAAACAGTGTCCTTAAAAATAGCAGATATGTTATTCATGATAGTTTGATCCCTCTTTGATGTCTGTGTCTCCGTCTGTCCGTCTCCAAACGTGTTATGTTATTAGTCCAACTATGAGGGTCAGTTTCTCCTTGATTCATCAATTACATAACCAAGGTTGACAGAGAACTGTTACACACTCAGCACATGAGCACACACTGTACTCCTCCTGTCAAAGTTTAACACATCAGAAGGACACAAAGAGACCCAAACTGCAGAATCACTCACTTCCATACTCAAAACCATTTTATGGTTTTTGGGAAATGTTGATTAAAAAAAGTTCACAAAATGTTGTTTGTAAAGAGTTGAGGAAAATAAATCAGACCCACATCCAAATCTGTAGAAGTTGGGTTTAACAGCCTGTGTTGATTTCCCAAAGCCAAAGATCCTGCATTAACATCCTTCTGGATTCATCTAGACAACAGAGGAAAACAATAATAATAATCTAAAATGCTTGACCAAAGCTTTTTTCAAATCAGTTGTTGTGACTTACTTACATTGATTTATTTGTCAGATTCATGGTGAATAGAGCCACTATAATTCCCTTGTTATAAAAGAATAAAAAATACTGAGGCCCTGAAGGCTCAGGTAAGAAAAAATAAAAAGCTGTTTGCATCTGTTCCCAGAGTTTACAAATCTGTGCACACAAATTGCAAATCTGTGTGCACAGTTTCCAAAAGGGTATGGATTCTAAATGTGTGCATAGATTTGTAAACTCTGGGAACAGATTTACAAAAGGCTTGTTATTTTTTCTTACCTGGCCCGTCAGCCTTACAAACAGCTTGTTATCTTTATATACACGGGCCTTAAAAGGCTCAGTATTTCATTTTCTGAGCATTTTTCATCAGAAATAACAGCAAACTCCATCAGCATCTCATCTTCTCCATCAAGTGTTGAAACGTGAAGCCACTTGCAGGCTTCACCAGCGTCTGCTCTGTTGTCATTTGACTCTCACTCCATTGTGCCCGTATATGGCTACAATGCACATTTTGTGTGTCTCTCTTGTGTCTCTCTGCCTTAAGTGAAACCAGCTGATGCAACTTAAAGATGACATCATTATTCTCTTCCAATCTCAAACTCTCTCACTTTCCTCTTTTTGAGCATTTCAGAGATGTGATTGTTTATTCTCAAAGTCACTCACCAGGAGAGACACCAGGCCCAGCAGAGAAGCTTAAGCCAACTTACACTGCTGCGAGTGTGTGCATGTATGCATGCGTGCGTGCGTGTGTGTGTGTGTGTGTGTGTGTTTGTGTGTGTGTATACACAGTGTGTGTTTCAGTCAGGGGCGGATAGGTTGGTATGACTCAGACAGCAAATGCAAAAAAGCAAACCCAGCTGAAGGAAAACAAAATTACTGGTCTGCTTTGAATTCCAGGTTTTAACATTCATTTCAGATCTCGAGGTACGTTTTGATTCTGTCCAATGATGTCATGTAAGGCAGTCAAATTCAGTCTCTCGAGCAGGAGAAGCACTCTGTTCTTTATCAGTATGTTCCCAATAGGTTCTATCTTTCAAGATGGATCCCCTGTTTTTATGGTGTCATTTGAAAAAGTTGTTCAGGGCATTCAGGAGTCAACCCATAAAACTACTCGACATAGTTTTCTGATTGGTATCACTTCTTTTCGAGTGATCTCATCCTGACTTCAATCATGCTGTAAAAACCGAGCTTGTAAGATATAAGATGACTGTGCAAGGATATGATAAATCACGGCTCTTTTAAACAAATTAATCCCGATATCTTCAGAGGGCTTATAGCACACATTTGGAACGACATCAAAAAAACAAAAGATTTAAGGTTTGAAGTAGAGGTGATCCCTGAAGTAATTTTTCAAACATAGATGCCTTTAACTTGCTGGTACTAGTTGTAATCTAATGTGTCTCTAGCTTCCTTCTCTGAATTCAGGGATACCTTCCTTTATGATTTTTTATAGACTTGACACACGTTTCAGAACAGACTGATCTCAACATTTATCTGTGTATGACATATGAATGACAAATGTGTGACTATGATAAATAGGGAACCTTTTTTTTTTTTTTTTTCTAAACCCTTACATATTTTATCACAAGTATTCTCACCTCATTGAATCGTGCCACTAGGTCCTCCACAGCGTTGCTGCGCTGGGCACCCTGGGTAGGCATAGCAGGCACTGACAGCGAGGCCTTGAGGCTCGGGTGGCGTTTGGTTTGACACTCGGGACTGCCCAGATCTCGAGTCAAGAAACACAGGTAGTCCAAGGGAAAGACCTGCAGACAGATAGAGCATGGAAGGAACAGATGAGTGAGTTTTAATTTCTATAAGCTTAGAAATACACCCGATCTCATGACGCTGGTCTTTCTAATCTCATGTTATCTTGTAAAAACTTGACATAGTAAAAAACTACAATAATAAATATTGTAATGTTTCTCAGTTTTGTTTTCTAAGCATTCAATACAGAATATTTATTTTTGCTTGAAAAACCTTTCTGGCATTAACATTGTAGAAAGAAATCAATGCCTGAGAGATTATAATAATTCCTCTTTGAACTCAAACTCTTCCTCTTATAACAAATATTTTTCAAATATTCTTCAAATCTGATATGTGTTTGTGTAAGTTTTGCCCACCCGTTTGTAGAGCTGCTGCTCTTGCTCGGTGAGGATACAGGCGATCTCCTCGGGAAACTGAACAAGGTGGCGCACATCTGCCAGCTCCTTACTAATCCCACTGATGCTGGGAGGAAGAGAGCTGTTGCTGCTCATACTGTTAGCCAGCTGACGCTCTGGTTGGACAAATAGAGAGGAAAAGAGATCATGAATTAAAAAATTGTTGATCCTACTTTATCACATATGAACATCGAGCTGGTATTGTAGGAGATTGGAGAAAACACCAGAACACATCAACACACAGTGAGGATGAAAAAGAGGAAAGACAATCAATAATGGACAGAAAGAAGGAAAGAAGGAGGAATGAGTTGTCTTCACTAATACCGCAAGAACATGGAGACTGCTGATTCTGATTAAAAAAAAGAAGACTCTTAGGGAGAGGAGGGATTCAATCTGAGACATTGATCGACTTTGATGTTTCCCTTTCACCATAAAAGTTTAAAGCCTCAAAGAAATGCTCGTCTCTTTTCCAGGATTAAACTGAATGTCTCAAATCTTCTGAACCATCAATCCCTGCATACCACAAACCCCCCCCAACAAGCGGCCAAGAGCAGTCTGCACACTTCAGCCTCAGCAAGTAAACAGCATTGATCACCTGCCAGCTCCTGTGTTTGGATTTCAGTCAAGTCAATTAGTCTTACTGCTTACACACAAACAAAGCTGTCCTCATTTCTGCTAACAAAGATCTAATGGACACTTTCTACCCTGGCGGTGGAGCTGCCAGGTAGGCAAACTGTACATTGTTGGGATGAGTGCCACATAAACTATTAGGCTTATTTCCACTGAAGGAACTTTTCCAGGAACCATTTATAGGTTTTTTTATGAGCATTTTCATCAGACTGCAGTAATATTCAGAACCTTTTTTTTTTATTTATTTTTTTATTTTTTTAAAGAAACTATCTCTCGGACTTACACTAGACTTTTAATTCTGCATTTTGCAGACTGGTCTAACCTAAGGTATGGCACAGCACTGAAGACAGTGGTTGTACGCACGTGGATCAAGCTTTTGTGCATGGCCCCTTTTTTCCTGCATTGTATCCATGCTTTACTCCACAGGAGTCCGTTTAGCGCGTAAAACAAGTGAGTTATACAATGTTTACAAAAGCATGAAGGAAAGGAGATGTATATTAACCTGATTTAAGTCCAGGAATTAGACAGACTCTTCCTGGTTTATGTAAACTGTCATAGTCAGAGAAAATTACCTACCCCACTCCCACAGCCTTACACACATCTTTCACAAAACTGATGCTTATACATATACAAGAACACACTTAAAGGTTGTCCTTGGTAACCCTTGAGATGTTCAGCAGGTAGCCATGGTAACAGCAGTAACTGCTCTGCAGAAAAAATTGCTTATTTGCACAGTTTGATTTGTGGATCCGGCTGAACAGCTCCTATAATGAACTCTGTGTGTGTGTGTGTGTGTGTGTGTGTGTGTGTGTGTGTGTGTGTGTGTGTGTGTGTGTGTGTGTGTGTGTGTGTGTGTGTGTGTGTGTGTGTGTGTGTAATAAAAGGCAAAATAGTCTTAAGAGATGGAGGAGAACATCTTCAAACATACAAGCCTTGAAAAAGAAGACTGGGAAGAATAAATTGAAAGAAACTTTGAAACCTTGCGTTAAGGTCAGAGCAGATAAAGATGTTGAAAAAAGAATTCACGCAAGCAAGAAAACAAGGGATGGAAAAACAGAGATATAGACATGCGGGGAGAAGAGGTATAGATGTAGAAAGGATAAGAGATAAGATAAAGTAAGAGTTAAATGGAAAAGATGAAATGTTGTAGTTTAGACGATGCAGTAGGTGAAAACTAACTATCAGAGTTATTCAGCACAATCCACTAAATCCTAAAAATGCTCAACAGAGACTCACTCTAGGTTATGACTCATGGTTTGTTTAAAAATATCAGGTAGAAGTCATTTTTTATAGAAATATTTGTGTTAAAAGAAAGAGCGAAGACTAAAAATTTAGCATGCAAAAAAAAATCTAAGTTTGTTTCACATTCTGTCACATAAGTATTTAATTATGTTGAAAAATGTCACCACGTAGTCAAGATGTGGATTTATATGTGGGTCATCAAATGATTTTTTTGGCAGCAACTTTCTTGTACAGGTAAATTGCCTTAAAGATAACCTTGATGACTTCTCCCTGGCTTTTCATAAAACAAAGATACTTTTTATTCATCATTTTATTTGTCAGGGACAATACATAGACATTGTTGCATCTAATTAAAGTGTAACTGATGAAATGTATCTAGGACTTCTAGCCAGGGCTAATTAGCAGTCTTTGTCTGTGGTTAAGCTTTTAGAAAATAACATACACTGATGATACAACAACACTGTAAAACAGACATAAAAACTGCAACTACAGACATAAATATTGTAGCAGGCATAAGATAAGCAGCGACATAGATACATAAAAACAAACAGTATAGCACACATAGACTGAAAATGTTTAACTGTAAAAAAAAAATTAAAAAAATACATTTAGAAAATCCTGTCAAGACAAAATAAGCAAAGTTTAAACATATAAGACCTACAACCATCATCTTCCGATGTCTACCTTAGACCTACATGATATTTTAACCTTTCTAAAGTGGAAATGGAGACACCATCAAATGCCTGATATTAATGATATGAATTTCATGACCCACCAAAGCCATTCATGTATTCATCCTTTAAACTGGGAAACACACAGGCAGACAAGGCAAAGACAAAAAGCTCTCAAGAGAGAATGAATGAAAGCAAAACAACACTACCGTTCTCAGATGGTAATTGATACATTAAAAAAAAAAAAAGCATCACTAAAATGTTATCATCAATCTAATGTGTCTCTTATCATTTGTTATTCATGATATTTCAAACTAATGCCTGCAAAGCTTCACACAATCAGCACAATCATCTTCAACGACAACAGAAAGCTGTGATAAATAAACACCGGGGCTGAGATCTTGAGTCACTGTGATAAGTGTTTCTAATAAAAGCTGTTTGGACTCATGAGATGAAGCCTGCTGACCCGTTACACCAGTGTGAAACACACTGATGAGTAACATTGAGCATGCAGCAAACAAGGCTGTGAGAGCAGGACGACCTGAGCCTGGACTAATGTACCATGAAGCCTCTGTGATTTTAATGCAGAGGTTTACTCATCTGTAATGCACGCTGAATACAAATGCCCTATGCATGTGGATGTGTGTGACTGAATACTGGTGTGTGTGTGTGTGTGTTTAAGTGTGTGTTTGTAAATGTTTGATGAATGGGGTAGATCGATTGAACATCCTTTTCAACTAACATTTCTGTTTTGAAAATTAGCATGACATCAAGAGAAGCAGGATATACAGGTGAGTGTGTGTGTGTGTGTGTGTGTGTGTGTGTGTGTGTGTGTGTGTGTGTGTGTGTGTGTGTGTTAGATTTATCCAAACAGCATTTTAGTTTGTAATGCACTGATGTCTAATCTAAACAAACTATTTATTTGTCTGTCTCTTCTAGGGGTTAATTTCTAAATTCCTGCATGTGCACTATTTTAAAAACATTTAACAACATTAAAATGACATTAGGCTAAGGAACGTAAACTTTAGACAAAAGAAACAGAAAATTGCAATGAAATTTGTGTGGAACTTAATACTTGAAATGAAGTAACACCCTGTGTTGGGAATGGGGCCTGACTCTTTGTTGTGGTTTTCTGTTATATCTGCCACATCTCTGATGACATCAGTACTATTTTACTTTAACCATCACAAACACTTTCTCCATCATCGTACATCCGATTAAGTAGTAGTACCGGATGATATAATAATAGAGTGCAGTATAACAAAATCAACACTTCATAGGTTTAACCAAATGTCAAATCCGGTAAAACAAGTCTCCCACAGTGGGATACAGCATCTGTTACTTACTTCAAGTCAGCCAGTACCTGACTCACTGCCAACACTGGGTGGACACTTGAGACTGGAAAATCAAATATGAATGTATACCAAAGGAGAGGAACCTTGAACAGAACCTCCGCCGTCTCTTTTCCCAAGCCAAGTGCACACCTACTGTACACTGTTCTCAGAAGCACGTTTAAAGCTGATGACAGCTTCAGTGCTTGAGTAAGTAGGGCACTCAGACAGGTGCAGCACAAACAGCCTGGGTCAAAGCACTGTCGTCAAATCAGCCTTTTGGGCCTTTAAATGTCTTCCTGTATATTTTTCAGATAACAAAACAAAAATCTCCAGTGAAACTGCATCAGGCAGTTTCCTATTGGATCACAGCTCAAACATAATAAAATATTCAACTGCATAAAACACATGCAGTGAATAAAATCTGGTACTACATTGTCCTTGTTAGCATGCACTTCTAATCAACCATACAAGAAAGGTCAAGTCAGCACTTGCAAATAAAATCAGAGAATTGTAGTAAACTCTCACATATAAATAAGTAGAGTAAGAACCCTTATTACACAGATGAAGAGATAGAGTAGCAGCAGAGGCAATAAACATGGATGAGTCAGACTGCTGAGCACACTGAATTATCACAGAGCGTTTCCCCTCTTGGATGAGATGTTAACATTACGAGCACACACAGACGTAAATACAACAAAGTTTCGATGACCTTTCTAGCATGAAGATAAGATGTTCAGACCTAAACAAAAGGCCACACGTACAGAAAACAATGTTTACATTCCAGAAAGTAGGACAAATAATTGAGTCAAGTTTAAGTGAATTAGGAGATTTAGAGATGATAAAGACGCATACTGTCCAAGCTGTTGGTTTGTGAGCTTGATCTGAGCAAACTACACTCTGAATGAGGCACACATCACTCTGTAAAAACAAAGTTTAAGAGATGAGTTCAGTGTGTAATTTCATCATGACTTGGAGTCATTTTGTTGCTTTTGTGTTTTTTACCTGTACAGTGAATGCCTGTATCTTAAGAGACTAAACATACACACAGCCATGTGTGACATTCATTCTTAGGGTCAATTCAATGCAAAGTCACCTAGAGACCCTGGAATTCTTCACTGTCAGCCTGTCAGATGGCAGGTATGAAGGACAACACAAACATTGTTCAACCATTAAGTTTTATGACAATCTTATTGTCCACTTCACTGACCTGGTGTTTTGAACTTTTGTGTTGAATACAAT